ACAGATAATTCAAGGAAATTAAAAATGTCTTAAAAGTTTTTATGGGCTTAAACAGTAAATACAGTTTTAGTATGTTAAAATGAGCAAAAAGCATATTTCAGTTTGCGTGGTAACTGGTTTCAAACTACACTGTTTTTTTATACCTACTTTTCTCTATTCTTAGCCCAGAGAGAAAGGTCGGATGCGTTTTCACAGATTACAGAATGTACAGATTGCACTGGACTATTTGAAAAGACGCCAGGTATGGTATTTTTCAGATTTTAATAATTAAATATATGTGATTAAATATATGTAGAGACATGTCGGAATGAAAAGGTTAAATTTGTGAATTATAATAATTAAGCTGTCCCTTGGTGAGGCAAATATATAAAACATGGTTTCAAATATTTGCTCCCAAGAAAAGGAAGTTAATGCTAGTTATAAGCTCAGAGGAATTATAAGTGGCTACGTTTCCATCTGATTTTCCCCTTTTGAAATAGAATGCATTTGCCTAGCAGTTAATGGCATTTTTAGTAGCAGCAGAATGTTAAGAATGCCTGTGGACTATTCTTGGTAATGGGGATGCAGCACTTTATTTTTTATACTTATTATATAAAATATTTTTATAAATACTTTACATCATACTTTAAAAATTTACTGTAAACATTTTTTACTTAGTGGTGAAGCAGTGTTGTTTTTTTCTAAATATAACAGTGTCTCTTCCTGCTGTAATAGACTATCAGAGGTGGGAAAGGTAATTCATAGGGAACAGGAGCTTCTCCTCACATTTCTAGAGGCCGAAATCCAAGTTCAAAAGGGTTTTGTTCTCTGGAGGGGAGGAGCACTATGTCCTCACTTGGCAGAGGGACAGGGACGGGGAAGTTCACTTGTCCATCAAGTCCATGATACGTGAGATGCCTGGCGGCATCTTACTCCTCCGCAAGAGGAGGGCCCTCGTGAGGTAAGTTGTAGCCTCTCCACACCATCGCCTCCGTAACCCCTGGATTTTGGAGGATACAGATTCATACCGTAACAATAATATTGGATAATGTATGAGTGACTAAAAACGAAACATTCCTGACAGGTCCCCAACTAGCTTGAGTGTAGAGGAGAAATCATGGAAAAGAAAGAATACCAAGTTGATACGATTTTGATTTGGTAAATTGTCAATTAGGAAAAAGGAAGGAAAAATGCCAAAGAATTGAAAACTCATGAAAACAAGGAAAAATTAAGGGTGGTGAAATTTTTTCTTTTTAATGGTGTAGGAAATAAAAAAGGGGAGAGGGAAAAAGTAGATTTTTATTATTTTTTCATTTAGTTTATTATGCACATTAAAAAGCTTTCAGTTAGTACTATACTAAATGCTCAGTGCTTAAGAATTTCAAGTGCTCTGGGTTTTGCCTCATTATTTTTCCTTCTAGTGGAAGTTTCCAGAAGGGTTAATAGTTAATTATGTCACCTTGTATGAAATGTTCTTGGGAGTATTTTCCCACCAAATAAAGTGTTAGATATCATGGTAAATAATTCTTGGTATATAATTCATGATATTTATTTTATCCAGGCATAAGTGTTCAAGATCTCATTTTATTTATCTAAATGTACAATTTAGCAGTTTATAATCTTTATATGTAAGTATTATTATTTTAAAATTTGAACAGCTTTCAAAATGCTCAATGACTTATATCTCTATGGTATACTTTTAAAAATTATTTATTTGTTTATTTATTTATTTTGGGTACTGGGGATCAAACTCAGGTCCTTGTGCTTGCAAGGCAGGCAGCGGAACCACTGAGCTAAATCCCCAGCCCTTTCTATGGTATACTAGTAAAAAGTAGTGACTTTCAAAATTCTTTGTGATGGAAGTGTGGAAAGTTATTAAAATGGTTTTGTGGTTCAGAACAGTTTTCTGCTTAATGGTAAGAATAAAATAAAGGTTATTTCCCATTTTAAGATCATAAATACTTAGAATTTTTCACTTACATTTTTGACAAATGAATGTTTTTTGTACTCTACAGGATTTTAGTACTCTAAAGAATAAAAACCATAATATATGCATTTTTCCTTTGTGCTTACCCTGTGCTATTATTTGCTATCTAAAATAATTGAAGATAAGGATAAAACAGTATTTTGGTGATTACTGTGTTCTTTATATAATTTAGAATTGATTTTTGTTAAAGTTTATCTCTTCTTTACATATAAAACAGGTGAAATTAGTGAATATTAGAAATGATGATATAACAGATGGAAATCCCAAATTAACCTTGGGACTAATCTGGACAATAATTTTGCACTTTCAGGTAAGTCCAATTTTCCTTAATTATCAATTATCACTTTTTAAGTTTGTTTTTGCACCGGGGGATTGAACTCAGGACTTTGCACTTGCCAGCAGGTACAGTGCCACTGAGCTAAATCCTTGACCCCTCATTTTAAAGTTTTTAATGGCTAGTTTGTATGTAGTTCATATGAAGGGTGTTTAATGTTGTGTGAAATAAAAATAGATCTCCGGTGTTTTTCTTGAAAAACATATTTGAATTACTCTTTCAAATAACATGCTTTTTATGAGCTTGGCGAATCTTTTCCTCTTCTCTATGAGCTTAAATGGAGTTCAAGGACAGTGCTTGTAATCTTAGAGCTGGAAGACAGATTCCTTTTTATTGAAGTCACACACATTTCTTTTGTACTTTGGACAGTATTAACCTGTGTTAGACACTTACATATTTTGTGACTCAATCTTTAGATTTTGTGAATGTTCTGAACACTCTTTTCTTCCTGTGGTTGACACTAGATGGCAGTAGAATATCAAGGAAAAGATCTGCATTAGAAGCCAAGTACTGTACTGCATATGTATTTATATACATGTGTGCTTTCTCAAACTTGAGAGAGCAAGTTCAACTTTATTGACTATGAAATATTATCTAATTTGTTCCAAATCAAGACTGATTTGATTTAGTTTTTGTAAAATGATACATTTTGGAAACAAATCTTCATTTACTGTAAGGTGATTCCTCACTTTGGAGCTTGCGTTGGCTTGTTGACTGCCTGTCAGTTTATGGGATTTCTGTTAGCAGCACAGTCTTCCCCACAGCCACGGATGGGATATCATGACTCCTGTGCAGTGACCTGGGGGAAGAAGTTAGTTTCTGAAAAGAGGTAGGGTTTTGACTCAATCTTGAGAGGAATTAGATTTTTTAATATATTAGCTGAGATGTAATATTTGTGGGGGAATGGAGCAAAATAATGGGACTCATCTGGGAGCAGGATATATCTGACAGATGGGGAATAGAGCGATGGGATTCTAGATTGGTTCCAGGACTGGAACAAACAGTTAAGCAGTGTCAGGAGGAGGGTCTTGGAGAAGTCTAGGCAAGCAGAGGAAAGATGTCAGCCAGGCAGAATTTAGGGTAGCTAATGAAGGTGAATGTCTGGTCAGCTGGGCAGTTGAAGTCGTATGAAACACCCCCAGCCTAGGGCTGAGGGTATTAAGCACTGAACCATGGCAGGGACTTGCATATGGATCACATAGCTGTGTCTTTTTCCCAAAATGGGTAAGGTCCAAGTAAAACTGCCCAAAAGTTAACTTCATGGTGAGTTCTTCAGTAGCTTTCTCAGGCACGTTGAATTTGCCTCAGGTAGCCAGCACTTCTAGTAGGGTTGAAATTTTAGGGACTGCGGATGACTAAGTCAGAGGCCTGTCACTTCACTGGCAAAGAGCTGGGGAGGCAGGTCGTGTCTGAATTCTGAATTCAGACACAGATCACTATGGATAGTAGAAAGTACGACTAAGTTTCACAGTAGGCTTTTTTTCCCTTTTAACTTACAGCTCTAATGGCAATGCTATAATGGAAGTAATTTAACCACTTTGAGCTTGAAAAGTTGTGTTTTAGAAACCAGATCAATTTTATGTAAAATGGATAGAAATGAGCAGAGTCTATAATCAGGAAGATAAACTCAGAAGCTGAGGTGAAGATCTCAGAATACAGTGATGAAGAGCACAACTCTGGAAGGGTTAAAAATCAAATCTGAGAGATGACATTTTGAAGGAGAAAGGAAGGGAGTGGCCTCAAGACATAGAAGATGGGAAGGAGAATTTTGTTAAGGATGATTAAAATCTGTAGCCACAGCGGTCAGAAAGCAGTAGACTACTCGGGGGCATGGGGATGATGCTAAGGGGAGGACTGCAGTCTTCTGGGTGGGTTTCATGAATTACAGGATGACTGTTGTCACCAATATTTAAAAATTAGACCAAGGTCCATTTAAAATGGAACATACCTGTGTTGTGGTAAAATTGGAAGTGTCCCTTCTTATTTAAATGAAATAACTTTTCATAGTACTTCGGTAACTAAAGATTAGAACTAGTTTCTGATAAAGCCAAGACATTAAGCTTTTTATAACAGCAGTATTTATCCTCTCTCAGAGTCACTGAGGCTTTTTGCCTTCTATACTTACCATAAATAAGGGACATCATTTTAAAAAATTCTTTTATTTGTTTTGAAATCATTTGTTGAGAGCATTGCAAATTGAATCTGTTTCCAGTCAGGTAATCTAAAGGGAGGCCTTAGCATACTGGTAGTCCTATGTCATTAGCCACTCTATGCTAGACCCACAGATGTTAAGACAATGGAGTATGTTGTCTTATCTATTAGGGGAGTATTCATAAAATTAACCAAAACCAAGGGTGATAAATCTATTGCAAGATAAATAAAAATGTGGGAGGGAAATTGTGATAGGGTTGGGACGGGATTAGAGAATGAGAAATTTTTACAGATTTTGTAGATAAGCATTGTAGAATGAATGCCAGCTAATGGGCAGATACTAAAGTTGGGCCATTCATAGAAGAGGGAACAGTGTATGTGTGGCCTAAAAATGGACAGTTACTTAGTTGGCCAAGCTGGAGGTAAGGGTGAAGGAGTGCAGGTCACAGGTGGCCTCTCTCACGTTGTGAGTACAAACTCCTCCTTATGTATTCAAATACTCTTCAGTAATGTTTCATTGACTATAAAGACATTGTAAATCAAATTAACAAGAAACCAATCAACAAAACCTTACTTTGCCCAACCCTCTTCTAGGATATTTACCTTTTGGTGCTGGAGAATATGTTTAATTTCCTTTTTACATGATTAAGGAAAACCTTATAATGCCGGGCGTGTTATGATCAGCATCTGCATCATCATTGTTAACTTGCTTACTCAATAAAATATACTCAGTTACGTCTTTTGATCAGTCTAAAGACTACCCAGTGAAAGACAATTATCAATTTATTTTTTTATGGCCAAGTTATTTTTGCCTTCATGCAAGTCCATTTTATAATATGCTCTAATTCCCTTTTGTACCATATCTATGACTCATTGTTAAAAGTATGCGCACCTTAGATAAGCAGGTTCCATATGATTTCCAGCTAGGCCCTACTAAAACTGCATAATATTTAACTAGGGTATAATTATAAAGGTTATATGCTTAGTTTAATCACTTTGATTTATGTATAAGAATGCACAGGTGCTTTCTTTGGCTAACAATTTAAATAATTTCACTCATCTGTTTGCACATACGAAGATCCTAATGATCAGATAATGGCAAATGGCTTAGAAATTTATTTTGTTTGACAGATATTCCAATTTTTTAAAGATTGATTTTAGAAACTTTATTAGTGTTTTAAGCATTCAGTATTTCTCTCTTCTGATTATTGAATCATATTTTTGTGCTTGTTTTGAGTAAGAGTGTAATTTAGAGATTTTCAAACTTTTCTTATGTGCAAATTAAGAAACTGGCTGATGTTTTCCTAGGGAGAAAAGTTTTGTGGTTGAGGCTATCTAAAGCAACCTGAAAGTCACTTTGAAACTAAATTCAAAAGGCACTTTGCTAAGTTCCTCTTGCCTTGTGTTTGCTTTCTGTTTATGCTCAGATTTGTTGAGCCACCAGTAGTTTCAAAGGTTAATGTGGACTTTGGTAGTGTCTGCATTTCAGAAAACTGAGGGTTATAATCTTCTCCGGCAGTAAATCTGAGGATTTTCCCTGAAAGCTTCCCAGTGTTATTTTGACAGTGAGCAGTGATGTTTGTCTCAGAGGATTGGTGGCCAGAAATAAGCCATGGTATCTAATGAGACACAGGGACCAGGCTGGGCAAGGTGCCATGGCATTTCTTGCGTGTGCCTTTCTCATAAGCACTATGGCCACGGGCTGAAGAGGATGGCCACAAAGTCTGTGAGGAATTAGAAGTCAGAGTGGAGTTCTCAGACTTCAGAGGAAGCTCGGATTTTGAAATGAGTGAGTTTGTGAAGCTGTGATTTCCTTCGATCAAATGGGGAACGTCTGTGGCTGTGTGAGAGCTGAAAAAGAAGAGCAATATTTAGATCCTGCCAAAACTCCGCTGAGCTCTGACAGACATTCTCCAGGAAGAAAGTATTTCAGAAGAAAACTGATTGTAGGTGACACAGAGTTGGAAGAGCAAAAGAGTGAAAATGAAGGCAAGAAGAGTGACATTTGGCTTTCAGGGGAGCAGCCAGGTCTTGTCTGCAGAGGACTGGCAACAGAAGAGGCTGCTACCCCAAAACCCACCCTGGAAGATGGTTTTCAGCAAGAGAAGACGCGAACTGTAGTTAACAGGGTTAAACAGAACCTTCTGCTGACTGCTGCAAGCAGTTGCTCTTACGAAGTGAATGCTTCCCCTGTTAAGCGTAGTGAAACAGAAGCACAGGATAGTTTACTGGATGAAGGGAGTTTAGAAAAAGAGAGCACTCTGCATTGTGCAGAGAGGAAGAAACATGTAGATGATGTCAATGCAGAAGAAATAACATTCCAGAGGAAAACTGATGTTTTTTCTTTCCGAAAGGCAGCCAGCTTAAGTTCCTTTCACTGTGGTACTGAGAGATCACTTGAAAAAAGTAGGTTTGCTGAAAACCCATCAGAAACTTACAGCAGCATCCAAGAAAGGCAAAGCATTGAGAGATTTTGCCCTTGTGAAACTCCCCATTTTCAGTTTAAGAAAAGGAGATGCTATTCCCTCTGTTCTGTGTCCTCAGTTTCCAAGGACACAATTGGAAAAGAGGTAAGTCAGATGTGGAGCTTGAGCTGAAGGTGTAAGTGTTCTACATGCTCTGGTCAGACTGAGGGTTTGTAATTTATCTTTTCAAAGAGTCTTTCGCATATTAGTTTATATGGATGCTATACAGTTTTTTGCATAGCCTTACATTTGAGTATTATGGTTTTATTTTTGTACCTCCCACATCCTTTTTTAAAACTGTAATTTCAAAACCCCATACAGTTTTATTACTGGAATGTTTAGAAAAGCACCGATGTAAGA